TCGCAATCTCAACAGCATTTTGTTTAACTTGTGCACCGCAACACACCTCAGGACTTGCGTACAATTCAAAAGTCAGTCAAATATACATATACAAATACATGCACACATACATATACATATGTGTGTAGCTAGAAGATCGTTAAGCACCTCAGCCGCAATACCAAACTCAGGACTCCGGACAAAACATTTGAATTTACCGTTAACAGGTAAGCGACAAGTGACAAGTGCCAAAAACTAAGCTTAATGCCTGCACACCCACACTCATATGTATGCATACATGTACATGTGCGTGTATGTGTATGTGCATGTGCCCAGCAAATGATGCGGAACTTTCGCTTTTTCAATGCTAGCGGCAAATGCACTGGAAATAGAAATGGGATTATGCACGGGCAATTGCTGTATAAAGGGTGGGGCCGAGGGGGGGAATAGAGCATTAAGTCAAACGGTCGTCGGGGCAGACAGCCAAACACGGCACCGACAAATCCCGCTTGTGTACTATTTGTGCATGTGTTAGTTGGGGCGACCGAGACCCCAAAGCCCGAGACCCTGAACGCGAACTGCAGCCAACATAGACCGGTATACACACACACACACACACACACATGCACATGTACATGTACATGTGTGCATGCATGTGGCATGTCGCATGTGTGTATGCATACATAAAGGCATACGCATCCAGACGCGCACAGATGCACACGCAGACACTCGCACACTCATACACACACACACACACACACGCGCACACTTTTGCGCAAAGGTGACGTAATGGCAACTACTCCACTAACACATTTTTCTACATTCCTGTACCACATGCCCGGCACCCGGCACCCACCCGTCCGCCCCTCCGTCCATCCTTCGCCTATTCGCCAGAGCCAGCGGCGACGAAGTCGTGGAGATGGGAAAACCTGAATGAAAATTGCAGGCGAAGCATGCCTAGCATAAAGAGCGGGCCAGCGGGACATAGTTGAGCCAGACGCAACAGACAGACACAGACACACACACACACACACACAAACAAGCACACGCACACAGACAGACAGCGTACGTGCAGTTGTTGTTGTTGGGGCTTACGCTCTGCTTGTAGGATGATTCTAGGCAAATGGCTGTCGCTGTGGCTGTGGCTGCTGCGTAGAGGGCACTAGAAAGTCTGTGTGTGTGTGTGTGTCTGTGTGTGTGTGCATGTGAGAGTGTGTGCAAGTGCCCGACATTCAAGGTTGGCGGCGCACAACTTGTTTTCTTGTTATTGTTATTGCTGTTGTTGCTGTTATTGTTATGGTTCTTTATGTGTATTTCTGTGTGTGTGTGTGTGTGTGTGATTGTTGTAGCTTCAGTTACAACAAAGCAAAAGGCAAAAGCAATCACAAACGCAGTATGCACAACGCGGCAAAGCGTTCTGCGAGCCGCTGCGGCTGATTTCCAGGAACAACAACAACAACATCGACGACAGCAGCAGCTAAAAATGAGGGGCAAAAAAAAGCAAAATGAAAGAAAAAAAAATGTAACAGTAAAACTGAAGCCACAAGTCACAGCGGAAGCCTGCGTAAGGCTTCACTCGCTCTCCTATCTCTTTCTCTTTCCCTTTCTGTTCATCTTCTCGGTCACTATCGCAGTCGCAGCGCTGCCAGCGAAATTGAGCTGTTATTTACAGTTAATCAAAATGACAGAAGTCGGTCGCTGCCATCATTCTTTTTTCGTATGTATGTGGGTGTGTGTGCGTGTGTGCGTGTGTGTGCGAGTGTGTTCGTGAGTAATTAGACGAGGCCCTTTGCAAAGCCATCAACACTTCCGCTGGCCTTGAGGGACAATAAACAATAATAAACTATCAACTGGCTTCAATTGAAGGGCAGCAAAGGGGGCGACTGCGAAGACAGCCGGAATTGAGAAGCAGGGCAGAAACCGAGACCCGGACCGAGACCGGAGTCGTCGGTATGGTATCTTTGCCATACACTGCAGATGATGAGTCAGCAATAGGTACACACAAACACACACAAAGCATGCAGCCCATGCGTATGCATATGAGAAGTTCTAGCAAATTCTACGCACTTGCAGAGCACACACACATACGCATACGCGCGCACACACACATACGCACACGCACATTGATGATGACGGCGATGACGCTGCCATTCAAACCGCTCCAAGGCCGCATTCACGGGCCGGCGAGAATTGCAAAATGCAGCCAAACAGAAGAGATAGACAAGTGCGTGGGTCTGTGTCTGCGTCTGCGTCTGTGTCTGTGTCTGGGCCTGAGACTCCAGACTGCTGTCGACAGACGGTGGTGGGTGCGGGAAGGGGGCTGCATTTTGTCGCGGCTCTCGTTCTCGGAAACGGTTACTCCAAGGCCACATAACAAGCAACAGGGCGGACTGACAAACAGACCTTGCATAGGCCACTAAATGCGGCCAAAGGCGTTGCCATAGTCGAGATAACGAAACAAAAAAAGCAAAGCAAAAAAAAAATATGAAAATATGAAGCAAATATAAAAAAATAACTGTACCCGATAAGTCGTCAGCTCAGGCTCTGATACTCGTTGCCTTTTGTTCTGCACACTCACTCCCCCCTCCCCCTCCCACAACAACAACTCCAACTCCAACGAGAGCGAAAGCGAGAAGCAAGTTGCACTTTTTCCATTTTTTCTCCCCCTATTTATGCTCTCTCTTACTCACTCTCTCTCTCTCTCTCTCTCTCTCTCTCTCTCTCTCACTCTCTTTCTTTCTCTCTGTTGCGTCTGATTGCTTTTTCTCTTATTACTATTCTTAGTCTTTGCTCAGTCAGTCAGTCAGTCAGTTGGTCATTGGTGTCATGTGCATAGCTCACGCTGTCTCCTTCTTGGTCTTCTTTCTTTTCCATTCCTGGCCTATTCTTGTCTTGGTCTCAGTTTACATTGCCCGGGCTGGCAACTCTGGCGAGGGTATCTCCCCCACTCCCCACGTCTTTGCATGCATGTGCAGGCCAGCCACATGGGTTGTAATATGAGCTGAGTCTTATTAGTAACGGTAAATGCAGGTTTCTCATTGACCATGTGGCGTATACGTAACACATGCGTTCCCTCAAATTTGTTGTACGTACTAGAAAATGCGATTTTCAGACAGACAGACAGACATACAGTGGGAACTAGGGAGGGACGGACAGGAAGGCAAGTCAAGCAAGTCATCAAATGATCATTGAACTCGTTCACACTCAACATTGCATTGATCTCGCTCTCTCGCTCAGTGTCAATCAGAGGAGTAACGGCATTTGGCAGACTCAAAAAAAATGAAAAAAAAATAAAAAACAGCCCAAACGCAAGGCCCCAACCAAGAATAAGTCACATGGCAGTCAACCTGGGCATAAATACATTTTGTACATATGTAAGCATATATATATGTATGTACATACATATGTACATATGTGCAAAAATATGTATTAGCTATAGCTTTAGCTATAACTATAGATATAGAGCGAGCGAGCAAGCGAGGGAGAGAGAACCGGTCAAAGTCATCCACTCCATTCCATTCCCCTTCCCAATCTCCCACACACACACACACACACACACGACGATCGTAGTCGCTGTCGTAGTCTCAGTCGCATTCGCTGTCGCTGAGCCGAGCCGATTCATTTCCATTTCCCAGTGCCGAGTACGAGCGAGCGCATATTTTTGCTCAACACATTTTTATCTAATAACCTTGTGCAATGTTATTAAACCCAAAAAGTTTCTTAACCTCGCCGGCAGCAGAAGCGCAGCAGCAGCAGCAACGGCAGCGCAGCTGCGTCGAGCAGCTTTTGATGAGAAATGCTAATACGCGCGTACGATCTGCGTTTGTGTTCAAGCATGAGCGCATGCATGTGTATATGTATATATATATTACACACAAGCACACACACACACACGCATACACATGCAAACACTGAGCAAATAATCAACGACAACAACGCACAAAGCTTACGAAAAAATAGCGCGCTCACAAATACAAATGCAGCTGTGAATGCACACGAACAGCGACAGTTCGGTCGGTTGAAAGGGCAGTGGGGAAGGGGAAGGGGGAGTGGGACATGGCAAGGCAACTTGAGGCCTACTCTTAATGGGACTGCCCCTCAACGCTCGCCTTGTATATGTATATCTATGCACATGCGTGCATATACATATTTAATACGTACAAATATCAAAAGTGTATGTGTGTCAATTGAATACAATTCGTCTTGCGGCGAGTAGGAGTTTGCTTATTTGTGCAGAAATGCAGATACATACGGACATATGTACATATGTAGGATTCACGAATATGTAACACATATGTATGTATGTACATACATATGTACATACATACGGTTTCACCCAAATGGCGAACGCTTTGTAAATTGCAAGGCAAACAAGCAAATATAATACGAGGCATGTAATGCGAATTAAATTGTGCATAAGTATGTACATGCATCCATAGACGCGTGCATACATGCATGCATATGTACGTATGTGTGTCTCCGCACACAAACATGTATACTCAAGGACTGATGGGCAGAGGACGCGCGCGCGGCGAAGCGAGCGCGAGAGAGAAAGAGAGCGCGCGCATGAGCGAGACCAATGCGCAGCTTACTTTTGTTTTAGCTTTTACTCTCGCCCTGTGGAGCAGACACACACATGCACAGAAGGGAGAGCGCAGTGTTTTTTTCTTCTTCGGTTTTTTTTTTTTGGGTAGCTGTTTTGCAAAGCACTGCGTTGTAGGCTTTTGTTCATGCAAGCAAATCGTGCATATGTATGTGTGCGTATGCATACACACACACAACACATGCACATATAATTATTTTAAAATTAAATGCATTTTTACTCAGAGGCGAAATTTTGCCAGCTTTGCATTACTTTTGAAAGTGCCTTCTTGCGTTTTAGGCCACACGGCGACTGTTCCAACTGCTACGTCAGCAGAATAACAGTCCTTCGATTGGCACACAAAAATAAATAATTCCAGAAATGGGAATTAATATATCTTACATATATGCTTGTGTGTGTGTTTGTATGGTTAAATCACCTCAATATGGCCAGTTATCTGGCAGCACCATTTCTCATGTTTGTCTGCCAGATTCGCACGCTTGTGCAATTCGCAGTTCAATGCTCATTGGAGAAGCTCCACACGACGGGCCAATAACTGATTGTCGCAGTCGGCCAGTGGCGTCGGTTATCAGGGGGGGGATCGCACGATAATGGGCCGCACTTTGTTTTTGTTACACTTTTCACATGCGCGCACACAGCGCAAACGGGGTGGGGGGTGGGGTGGGCTGCTGATGCTTGCCGAGACGAGCCGTTGAACGAGTACGCGCAACGTCACGAGTTCAAAGCCCTCGCGACTGCGATGACAGCTACCCAAAATTGCCGCGCACAAATCACTTCCCCTTTCCTTATTTGATGCATGCATTCCGATACACTCGCATGCATGCATGTCCATGTGTGCATGCATTATACTTGGGCTAATCGGAGAGGGAGGGGTTACAAAACTATTGACACTATTTAACGGAAGGCGAACGAAACTAACGACAACCAAAGCCAAACGCGTCGCACTCTCAACTAAACGGCACTGGAAAATTTGCGACTCGATCTAGCTCTAGCCCAGAAACTATTTGCGCTCAAGAGTAGCAGCTGCTCAACTGTTAAACTTACATTGCTAGTTTTCTGTTGTTGTTGGCAGCGAGAGGCGCTAGATAAGCCAAAGCGAATGCCAAAAGCGCTCAAATAGAAACGCTCCAACTACAAAAACTAGTTGAGCGAGAGAAGAGCTTTTGAGTGAAAGCTACAGACGACAATAGTTGTGATCACAGCGGATCATGTTGTGCAGTTGTGTGTATTATCGAAAAAAAAGCTCTATCAAAAATTTGAATTTCTAGCGTTTGCTCTCTGTTGTATGCTCATACACAAATGTTCATGCATATGTGTGTGTGTGTGTGTGTGTGTGTGTGTGTGTATGTGTACCTGTGTAGCTTGCACACAAACTAACGATGAGTGTTTTTTTCGACTTTGGCATGGGGTAAACGACCGAATGTCCGACAGACGATGACTAGGTTAAGGTGAAGGTCAAATTAGCGCAAAATGCTAAAAACGACAACTAAGGCAGCCCGCAGTCGCTGCAGCCAACCGCGCCGCAGCGCTGCGACTGCGCCGCGCACCAACAATAGAAATCAACTTTGTCAGCGTTAAAGCGAGCGAGCGAGCAAGCTGGCAGCTAAAATAATAAAAACAACAAGAACAACAACAATAAAACAATAAGCGACTGAACAAAATAAACGAGAAGAAGAAATTGAAGCGTAGACAAACGTGACCACGCGCAGGCAAGAAGACACAGGAGTAGGAACACATATACACACGCAGTTAACATATGTATGTACATACATATGTACATGCATACATACGCATAGAAAGTTACGAACTCCAGACAAAAAGCTTGGCGAGCCGACAGACAGAAAGACGGACAGAGAGACAGACAGTTGCAGTTGTCTTTTATTTGTGTCTGAAGAGACGCCCGCATCTTGCCCCCCACCCCAGCGCCAGACTTGCGGCCAGTCATAGAACAGTCCAAGTCTGAGCTCATCCAGGCAGCCAGGCAGCTAGCCAGTTCCCAATTCTAATTTTGCGTGGTGTGTCTCTACATCCCGAAATACATATACATATGTATGTGCATACATCTATGCATATACATACATATACATATGTATGCAGATAGATATACGCCAACAAAGGAAACAAACAAACATACACACAGCAAAAACGTGCGGACGCCGAGTGTCTACCTCTGTGTTTGTGTTTGTGCTTGTGTGTTTCTGTGTTTGCGTCTGCGTCTGCGCCTGCGTCTCTTGCGCTGCGCTGCGCTATTTGAAAGTGTTTGTTGAACGCCACGCGTTCGCTTACACGCCATGCGCTCTCTCGCTCTCTGGCAGACCCACACACAACACACACACAGGGCAACAAAAGCGCGAGAAGCTTTTTCTGCAATCTAATGGCGCATCGGTCTCCGTTCTGTTTCCCTCGCGCTCACCACACACACAGACACACACACACACATCTACCGTCTCTATGGCTAGTGCGCGGACCAGGCAGCGGCAGCGGTAGCAGCAGAGCCGGAGCAGACGTTGAACGCATGACCTTGAACTTGGACTCAGTTTACGAGTTGAGAAATTGGGTTTTATTTTGAATTGTTTGCATGTCGCTGTCGCTGTTTGTTCTTGGTCTCTCTCTCTCTCTCTCTCTCTCTCTTTCTCTCTCTCTCTCTCTCTCTCTCTCTCTCCCGTACTCTCCCTCTCTCTATCTCTATCTCTCATAGACAACTTGGCCGTTTCTAATGGTCAGAACAAGCAGCTGGCACTTAAATAATCTATTCGACTCATTAATCACTCAACATTCTGCACAAATAGGCAAGCATGCAGTTCTATGCAATTGCATGTAACGGTATTCCTAGCCATGTTGTTGCTGTTATTGTTGTTGTTGTTGTTGTTGTTCCCACAGCTGGCATCTGTCTAGCCTTTGTCTAGCCCACTAGCACACACACACACTCACACGTACAGGCGCACACACTCGCACTATGCCCCGCATACATGTGCAGACAAAGCTTTCCCAGTCCACGCTGTATTTGTAATGGTCGTCGTCATCGTCGTCGTCATCGTCATCGTCGTCGTCGCCGTCGTCTCTCGTTCTAGTTTTTACATAAAACTTTCGCTTTCGCCGCTGTGGCTGGGCTGACTATGTATGCATGTGTGTGTGCGTGAGTGTGTCTGCCGGCTTGTGTGTGTGTGTGTTTTATTTGTATGCGGACGTTAGATTTTACATTTGACCGGCATTATGTGTATGGCAATGGCAATGGCAGTGGGAATGGGAATGGTAAATGGCGGAATGAGAGAAGGAAGGTGGGATGTGAATTGTAGGCACAGGGTGTCTGTGTTGATTCTTGCCACTTGCCACTTGCTACTCTGCGCTTCCATCTGTCGGCAACAAGTGGCGATGTGTTTGTGTCTAGCTCCACGTCTATGTCTATGTCCGTGTCTGTGTGTGCGTCCGTGTCTCTGTCTGTGGGTAGGACTGACCTTGTTCAATGAACGCTCTGTAAACAATCGGCTGCCCTGTTCTCTGTGCTCCCCCCTCCTGCTACTTATCTGCGCGAAGTGGAATTCGCGTTGCTAAGCGCCTGGCGAACAGAGCCAACTGATAGAGAACTACTAGAGGAGACTTGGGGCCATGTCTGTGTGTGTGTGTATATATATATATATTAATATATATGTGTGTGTGTGTTTGTGTATGCACACACAACTAACGCAGTCGAAGCTAACCTTGAAAATAGCAAACGCCGCACACATGGCGAACAGGCCAAGCGAAACAGAAATAAAGAGCACACGAAAATGCAGCAAATATGACATGGGCGACTGATAGATACCCTATACACACGTACACATGCATATGTTAAATGTACATGAATAAAAAAGGCAAAAGGATATTGGGAGTTCCCGAAAATATAGTCTAAGTGTATGCTTAATTATGTATATGTACATTTGTACATAAATATAGATGTACATATGTACATCTACACATTTTTTAGAGCATTTTAAGGAAAATGACTAGTTGCTAGACTATAGTAACAGCATATCAGTTAATAATAAAAGAATTTAAAAATAATAAAATAAAAGAATTAAAAAAATGAAAGAAATTGGCGTGGAGGCAGGCACAAATGCAGAAAATAAACCAGTACGATAACTAACCAATACACATAAAATGCGTGAAGAGTACACACACAAATACACACATGCATCTATTGTGAATCGAATAGAAATAAGTTTTAGTTTCCAACCGAACAAACTACTTCTCTATCTAATCTCATTTGTTTGGCGTTGCTGCTGCTGCTTTTTCTTCGCGCATTCAAGCAAATAATTGCTTTGTTCAACTATATACACACACGCACACGCATACGACGGCAAACAAAATTGCAAAAAATGAGCAAAAAAAAAACTGCAATGCCAAAAAGCGCGCAGAACAAAAACAAAAAAGAATAAAAAAAAAAAACGTTTTCTAGAACTATTTTAAAAGCTGTTCGTCAGCAGCGACTGCGTCTGCAGCAGCGCCACCAGCAGCGGCAGCGGCATCGGCGTTGACGGCAACGTCGTCGCCTGCTCTCACTCTGTCCCTCTCTCCCTCACACCCTCACGCGCAGCCGGCTAGCGGCTCGCGGGAGAGTGCGCGGCGAAATGCGCCAAACAAAATTTAATAATAATACAGCAACAACAAATACATCGCAAAAAATGTAGTATTTAGCCTTGAAAGTTCGTAAACACTACGAATTGTGAATGCGAGCGAAGATCTCTTATATACATATATATATTGTTTTTTTTTTGCACAAAAAGTCACATCAGAATTGAAAATAAAAATCAAATTCATTTCGAACTTGAACGAAATAAAACGACAGATCGAAGAATCCCAATCGAAGAGAGTCCAACAAAGCTGACGAACACATATTTACTTATGTAAACAATACATCAATACATGCACACATACATACATACTAGTTGCGAATGCCAACTAGATTCAGCTTAGTGCAGCTGCGTGTATTTTTGTTTACAGCCGAAAGTTTCGAGTTCGAATTCGAACAAATAACAAGGCGCAAATATACGAACGTATTGTACTGTAAATTTGAATGTGAGCCGAAATATAAGACCACATTTTATGTTCTAAATTCCAATATTCTATAACTGAGCAGCTGCTAGGCGTCGGTCACGGTCACACGCTCCCCCTGTCACCCCTGTCACCCACTGCACCCCTCTCCACAAAGAGTGTGGTGCTGTTATTTTCAACTTTTTTTTTTTTGTTTTTTTGTTATTATGCATATACATTTTGTGTATAATTTTTTGGCTTGCATTAGAAACCTGAGCTTTTCCCACCGGCTGGCCCACCGGGGCTCCACTTCAAATGAATTTGCGGATGCTTTCGCTGCAATTACAATTGTAACGGGATAGCTGCCGGCAGGCAAACGGAGGCGCTAGTTGCGCCCGGTGGCAGGTGGAACTTCTTGCCCGTCATGGTAATTAGAGGCGATCCACACACACACACACATACGCACTCACACACACGAGTCGAGTGCAAGTTGAAAGTGTCAAAGTTGTCGAGTGGTTAATCTCTCGGCCTGTTAGTTTTTTATATATGTATCTCTTTTCTCTATCTCTATATATAAAACTGTTTGTCCTGACTGAGTGACTGACTGACTGACTGACTGACTGACTGACTGACTGACTGACTGACTAACTGATTGGTGATCAACGCACAGCTCAAACCGTAAGAGCTAGAAAGCTGAAATTTTCACTGTAGTTGCCTTATGTGATAAAGGTGCACGTTAAGACGGGGTTTCGGGAAATGCCACCCGCAAGTACTTTTTGGAAAATCCATCCCTTCTTGGTGGAAATGGGTGTCAAAGATTTGGTGGGTGACGTTTCGCGCTTAAATTGATTTCCAAAGCTCCATAAGAAAAATCAATTGAGACCTGTTGTACATTTTTGGCAGGATCAAAGCATCCTCGG